CACTATGCAGCCCAAGTTGACCTGACACTCAAGATTCTCCTGTTTTGGCCTTAGTCCTAAGTGCTGGTATTACAGGCATGTTTCTGGCTTGATCATCCTATTAGAGAAGCCCCAGGCATCATAGGGGCTACATACATGTACATGCTAGGTATTATTTTAATCTTTAAAAATTTTATTAGAGCCAGGCACCAGTGGCTCACACCTGTAATCCTAGCTACTCAAGAGGCTGAGATCTGAGAATCACTGTTCAAATCCAGCCCATGCAGGAAAGTCCATGAAACTCTTATCTCCAATAAACCACCAGTAAACTGGAAGTGGTGCTGTGGCTCAAGCGGTAGCCAGAGTTCAAGCCCCCATGACTGACAAAGAAAAATATTAGAAAAATGCATTCACAGCTGGGCGCTTGTGCTCACACCTGTAATCTTAGCTACTCAGGAGGCTGAGATCTGAGAATTGCTTTTTTCTTTCTGCTTATGTGGTGCTGAGGAATCGAACCCAGGGCCCATGCATGCAAGGCAAGCGCTCTACCACTGAACCACCTTCCCAGCCCCCGTGCTTTTTTTTTTTTTTAAATAACTGTAGGTAGTAGGCTATTTACCTAGCCTAACTGTCAACAGAATTAATGCTTTCTCTCCTACTACATGTTCCTATCTCTTTTCTCTTTCCTTATGGTTGATACATTTTGCATTATTATAATATGAATGCAATTAAATCTTTTATGCTTGTTATCTAGGTTGGTAGGAGAACATTTATAATGTGCTATTGTAAACAACTATTGTAAAGTGAATGATTAGATTCATAATAAAAATAACATTTTTCTGGAAAAAAGAGAAATATCTAAGTATCAAATTTTAAAGTGTGTTCTCAAATCTTTACCTTTTTTTTTTTTTTTGCCAATCCTGAGGCTTGAACTCAGAGCCTGGGCATTGTCCCTGAGCTTCTTTTGCCCAAGGCTAGTACTCTACCATTTGAGCCACAGCCCCACTTCTGGCTTTCTCTGTTTCTGTAATACTCAGGAATTGAACTCAGGGCTTCATGCATACTAGGCAAGCACTGTACCACTAAGTTACATTTCAGCACTTAATCTTCTTTCTTTACTCCTTCATGAGAATACATATTCACCCTGTTTGTTTTCATTTCCAATACTGTATCTTCTCTGGAACATTGTAATTTAGAGTAGAAACCAGTCATTTGTTTTCATAAAAGTTATGTGGTGGTCCCAGGCACTGGTGGCTCATGCCTGTAATACTCGCTACTCAAGAGGCTGAGATCTGAGGGTTGCAGTTTGCAGCCAGCCAAGACAGGAAACACCATGAGACTCTTATCTCCAATTAACTGCAAAAAAAAGTTAGAAGTGGAGCTGTGGCTCAAGTGGTGGAGTGCTAACCTTAAGGACAAAAGCCCAGGGATCGTGCTCATTCTCTGAGTTCAATCCCCAGGATCTAATAATGTGCTTCGTTCTAAGTTCAAAGGCATTTTTCTTCAGGCATTTGAAGATTTTGCTCATTCACTTAAGCACTTATTACTTTTCTAAAAATTTGTAAAGAAACTTCAGCCACATTTCCCCCACCGAATATTGCTCGTTGCTCTGTAGCTCCCCTTGCTCCAAAGAAAACCAAACCTTTATCCATGGTTTTGCTAGACTTAGTGTGTTCTGTTCCTCTCCTGCCATTCTCATCTCTTCCCCTCCTCCTCTTTGCCCTCTAGTAATGGGGGTTGGGAGAGAACATCATTTGTCTTCTTCCACATCATCAAACCTTTTTGCTGGCACCTTTTAGAAACTGTCATAAAAGTTTCAGAAATAAGACCGTGGGCTAAGGGTATGGCTCAAGTGGTAGAGCACCTGTCTAGGAATAAGACCAATATCTTTTTCTTACCAATATATGAAAAGTAAACATTAAATAATTCTAGAAAGCTGATTATTACTCATAGCAATTTTATTTTTTATAGTCCTGGAGATCAAACTCAGTTCCTTGTGCGTGGTTGGCAAATGTTCCCTAGCCCTTTAGTATAAGAATTTCACTTCCAGGGACTGGGAAGGTGGCTCAGTGGAAGAGTGCTTGCCTTGCATGCATGAGGCCCTGGGTTCGATTCCTCAGCACCACATAAGCAGAAAAAGCCTGAAGTGGCACTGTGTCTCAAGTAATAGAGCGCTAGCCTTGAGTTCAAGGGCTGGGAAGGTGTCTCAGTGGTAGAGCGCTTGCCTTGCATGCTTGAGGCCCTGGGTTCGATTTAAGCAAAAAGAAAAAAGCCGGAAAGTGGCGCTGTGGCTCAAGTGGTAGAGCGCTAGCCTTGAGCTGAAGAGCTTAGGGACAGCGCCCAGGCTTCAGGCCCCATGACCCGGACCCCCCCCCCCCCAAAAAAAATCTGTCAGTCCCAAGTGGCTCATGTCTGTAATCCTAGCCACTAAGCAGACTGAGATCCAAGGGATTAAAGTTCAAAGTTAGCTCAAGCATAAAAGTCTGTGAGACTTCAACTCCAAAATAACCAGCAAAAAGCCAGACTGGACGTATGACTCAAATCATACTAGAGCATCATGCTGGCCATTTGAGAAAGCTAGCAAACTGAGCTTGAGGTCTTCCTGAGTTCAAATCCAAATTCAAAGATAACCATCCCAAGAATGTGTTTGTGTGTGTGTTTGTGTGTGTGTGATTACTTTGTTGTTGTTTGGGAACAAGTTAACACTGTAGCCCAGGCTATGGCCTACAAAGTGAATTCTGGAATTACTGGCATGTACTGCTATGCCCAGAAAATAATGAACAAATTATTTTAAGAATGTGCAAATTCCTTGGGGCTGGGAAGGTGGCTCAGTGGTAGAGTGCTTGCCTTGCATGCATGAGGCCCTGGGTTCGATTCCTCAGCACCACATAAGCAAAAAGAAAAAAGCCGGAAGTGGCGCTGTGACTCAAGTGGTAGAGTGCTAGCATTGAGCTGAAGAGCTGAGGGACAGTGCCCAGGCCCAGAGTTCAGGCCCCACGACCCGACCCAAAAAAGAAAAGAAAAAAAAAAGAATGTGCAAATTCCTTAATCTAACATGACCTTGGGTAATATGAATTCAGACAGAACTAATTATATCTCACACCTTCAGCATCTAATTCAAGATATACTCAACCCTTAAGCTAAAAAGCAAAAAGTGAATCAGAATAAAAATGTTCAAAGTACTTTCTTTGCATGTGTGAAAATAAGACAACAAAACCTGATGAAATTGTCTTAAGGGGGAAAGGGACAAGAGGGAATGATAGAGGGAGATTGATGTGTAGAAACGCCACAATAAAACTCCATCCGTACAACTAATGAATACTAACATATTTAACTCTGTTCCAGAAAAATATGAAGTCATATTACTATTTTACCCAGAAAAAAAAGACAATTTAGGTAAACAGTAAGTATGGAGACAGAGATTAAGCTTTTTTGGTGGAGGATGCTGGTACTACAGCTTGTACTCAGGGCCTAAGTACTGTCCCTGAGCTTTTGTTCTCAAAGCTAGCACTAGCTTTTTGGTAATGAAGAGATGGTAGTCTTATTCGTATTTGCTTTAAACCACAATCCTCAAATCTCAGCCTCTTTAACAGCTAGGATTACAGTCATGATTAAGCCTCTGGCACCCTACCAGAGTATGCTATTGGTCAGTTCTTCAAATAAAGGTTTCTCATTTTCTATCCATGTTTATTCTATCTGTACAAACATATAATAATTTAGGTTATTGGAGAAAATGTTGACTAGTCTAATTTCTAATTGCTTGTACATCAAACTATTACCTTCACTTGAGTGTTAAAATGCTTAGGTACCCTAGATAAGGGGGAAAAGGGGAAAAGCAACCGGGCCTTGAAAAAAAGGGGGCAACCTGGGCACCATGGGTCATACCTATAATCCTAGCTACTGAGGATTGCGGTTTAAAGCCAGCCTCAGCAGGAAAGTCTGTGAGACTCTTCATCTCCAACTAAGCACCAGAAAACCAGAAGTGGTGCTGTGGCTCAAGTGGTAGAGCACTTGCCTTGAGCTGAAGAGCTCAAGAACAGCACCCAGGCCGAGAGGTCAAGCCCCACAACCAACAAAAAAATAGTGTGAGGAAAAAAAAAGGGTAATACGCTAAGAACAGTATTTATAATTTTTTCCTTTTTAGCAATACCAAGATGTGAACTCAGGGCTTGCTTGCTAGGTTGAATACTGTATTGAGCCACATTTCCAACTAAAGTTAATTTGAAAATAAGGTATTTTTGTCTTGTCTTAGGCTACAAATGATCCTTGGCTCCAAGTTCAAGATATGGCTATTTTCTTATTATCAAGCAAAAAGCCATTGATACCACTTCCAGGACATATACAAATACAATAAACTCATTTTCTTCTAAATTCTGAAATGCTGGGGATGTAGCTCAGTGGCAGATTACTTGTCCGTCATACATAAGGCCTTGGGTTCAACCCTCAACAGTATGGGTGGGTGGGGGAGTTAATCTTCCAAAGATGATTAATTATAGCTTTATTTAATCTTTTTTTTTTTTTTTTTGGTCAGTCATAGGGCTTGAACTCAGGGCCTGGGCACTGTCCCTAAGCTCTCTGCTCAAGACTAATATTCTACCACTTTGAGCCACAGTACCAAGTCCAGTTTCTGAGTGGCTAGAGATAAGTCTCAAGGGAACTTTTCTGCCCAGGCTGGCTTCGAACTGTGAGTAGCTAGGATTACAGGGGAGGCTATCAACACCTAGCTAATCTTTTTCTTAACCAGGCCTAAATAGTAAAGAACTGGTGACAGAACACTACCAATTCTGCCAACTAGTTGGTAGGAAACATACTAAAACTAGTTACAAAATCACTATGCTACCAAGGGTAAGAATGAAAATAATGGTAAAAAGAAAAAAAAATGACCTATCAGAGTTTTCAGGTCAGACAAATGACTTCATAGGGACTATGACCTATGATCAACACATGGCCCATTAGTTATGTCCTCTATGCCTCTAGAATTCCATTATGAAATGTTTAACAATAAATGACAACAGAGAGTATCAGGTTGTAAATATTTATATTTCTCTCACTCACACACAATGTTGTATGAGACATTACTAGTTTTAATGTGCATCCAAAGGATTAATACTCATATGGAGTATAATGTGGAAAAGTGCCAAACTAAAGAAATAAGTCTATCTAAAAACCAAAATACACACGTCTTAGGATTTTAAAATATTGCACATAATAAGGTTGCACAGAAATTACTGGCTGGTTTTACAAAAGAATGAGGTATTAGATGAAGATAAGTGCAATCTCTAGACCAAGGTAAGTGCAAAGAGGAAGAACTATGTACACACAAAAAAAGACTACATAAATTTGTATGAAGACCTACAGGGTTAAAAAGAAAGGTGGGGGAAATGTGTAAGTAGTTATAATTTCAATCTTAAAAAAACCATTATTCAGGGCCTACACACACTAACAATCTCTTGGCAATATTTCACAAATTTTCAACTTTTTCTGCTTCACTGACTATAAGCAATATACTTCCTTTACCCCAATTCTACCATAGAAAAGGCATGATTTGGTTGCAAAAATAAAACCATCCTTTCCTAAAGCTTTTAGTGGTAATTAACCAACATACTGATCTCCTTTGCTGAATGACTCAATTATACAATCTCATATACATTTAGCAACTGAATTAACAGATGCCACAAAGCATGCAATTTCGTATTAGCAAATGTTTCACTGTAAAAAATCATCTAAATTTACACAATTCATTTCTTTAAATGTGTATCACCCAAATTCAATCTTTCTTTTTGATACTAAAACTTGCTACTTTTAGGAACTCAAAGGTAAGTAAAGAAAAATGACTTGGCAGAATTCTTTTTATAAAAAAATTCCTAATAAGGAAAATTAATATTACATTTTGTCTACTGAATGTTGAATGTTAGAATAACTTAAATATATGTAATAGCTATATCAAATTGCTTAAAGCGAAATCATGCACTTGTCAAAGCAATTCACAGAAAACTTTTTTCATCAAAGATATTGAGGAAAAGTCAACAAGATGGTTTTAGTGACAACAGAAAAAAAGGGCCCACTATTGTCCAGAACAGTCAGTATACGTAGTAACCATGTTTCCTCTTCTTTGAGTGACAGTTCTGCAGTGCTTACTAGATCCATGAAATCGATTTTCAGTCTGTACTGTGTGCTGATTGGTGTTGTCAAAACCACTAAAAGAAAACATTTTTTCCATATCTTCAAACATGTCATCAAACAATCCACCTCCAAAAGAAAACTCCTGGAAATGGTGCCTTTGTCTACTGGAACCATCCTGGCGTGTCTGGAAGTGATTTTCAAAATGCTTCTTAGACCGAGAATTTTGGTTTTGACCAAAAAAGTTAAAGTCTTTAAATAAGTCATCAAAATTGAAGTTAAATGACTGCTCAAAAGGACTTCCACTTCTTTGTCCTTTACCATTAGTAAAAGCACTGTGTCCAAGTGTATCATATTCTTTTCGCCTACTAGCATCTGAAAGAGTTTCATATGCTGAAAAAGATAATAACATTTTAGTAAGTCAAGAAAAAAAAATTCAAAATTACATATATTTAAACTTCTCCATATACATTAATTTCAACTTGCATCACAAGTTAAAAGCACATTACAAACATAATTAAGTTAAAAATAGAAGTTATACAAGGCAAGAACTTTGCCTTACTCACTGCTAGCTTGTCGACAGTTAGCACAGTCATAACTCTAGTATATACCAAGTAATTATTAAATAAATGTTACTATCATAGCATGTGGACAACCATTAGAGCTATTAATATTACTTTCTGAAAACCACATTTGTGTTAAAGAATTAGTGATCAAGAAATAAAATTTTAAAAAAAATTAAAAATTATTTTTGGGCTGAGATGCAACTCAGTGGCAAAGCTCTTGCTTAGCAAGTGCAATATCCTGGGTTCGATCCCCAGTACCAAATAATAAAAGACAAAAAAAAAATACAGTTAAAAAAAAAAGAATTAATAATCAAATATGAAGTTAGTAGGAATTTAGATTTTCCATTTCCTTACTAATTGAAGTACCTTAATTTCTAACTCCCTAAGTCAGTTACCACCTCCCATCATTAATTATTGAATGTTCACAAAGTATATTTTGTTTTAGAACAGGTATGAAGCCAAACATTTTTAAATGTAGAATAAGAACTTTGGGTACTCAAATACTTTTTCCTAAGAAACAACAGTGATTTCATAAATATAAGAATGAAACAATACATTTTCATATACTAATAAAATTATCAATTAAAATTCATCTAGTCTTTCGCTAAAAAACATTTTGCTTTAAGAATGGCAGAATCTCACCATATTTAAATGTAAATCCCATTCATCCTGCCATCTGCATATATGTTCAAAAACAAACAGATTTCTTGGCATCATGCTTATTAGTTATACCCTTGAGACCTCAGAAAGTCACTTACTTACCTTCTGCAATCTCTCTGAATTTTGCTTCAGCATCAGGGCTCTTATTTTTGTCAGGGTGGTACTTCATGGCCAATTTGTGAAAGGCCTTCTTGATTTGGCGTTCTGATGCAGATTTTGGCACTCCTAAGATATCATAGTAGCTTTTTGAGGCCAGAATTAATTCTGTTATCATTAAAATACAAATTGCAAAGATGAAAACTGACTGGGGTGTAGCCATTTCTAATGTCCTACAAAAAGAAAAAAGAAAAATTATCTATAGAACTAATTTTAGGGCATTTTTCTTTTAGAAGAAAGTCAACAATTTAATGCAGTATTCAAAAGGTCATATATACAGTATTTTATACACACATTCTATTGCATTCTAAGTGTTAAGTGTTTGTGAATTAAGATTCTCTACTTTTAGTCTTTGGCTCACCTAATGAAATTAAGGACCTGAATGAATGCTGTTCTGAGAAAATACCTACTAATCTAGACATAACATTATCTTGGTAGTTAACTTTTTAATTTTTTCTCTGACATTTAGAGACATTATTCAAATACGAATTTTTTTTTTGACACAGCGTTTCCCTTAGCCTTGAATTCCTCTTCCTGCTGGGCTTACAAGTCTCTACCATTATACTAAGCCTCAGAATATGAATTCCTATAAGGAAAACTGAGATTCCCCCAAACTACTATTGGCATTTTTTACTTTTCTTCCAAACTAGGCTTGCATGTAAAGAAACTACAATATCTAGTAAAAATCAGTTATCAAAAAAATTCTGTGTTTGGAAAGACTATTAGAGGAATGGTGATGGCCAGGAGGGAGTTTCTCAGTTCAATTCTATTTGCTCTTTTTGGAAGAAAAGGTATATGGATAAATTCTACTTAAAACACAATGAATTTAAGATTTCTCCTAAGGCTGCCAGCAAACAAGTTATTCTCAAAACTTCTCAGTAGTTACAAAAGTTCTCTTACCCTGAAAATCTTTAGTAAGTTTTGACATAGGACTTTTGGTAACATGTATCTTCTGACTTGATATCCATAATAAAGTGCCCCGGTTTTTTGAATACTAAACCACAGGAGAGCTTGGTAACCCGTGATGACATAACAAGGCTGATGAAAAAGCACTATGGCTCATGGAAACTGCCTGCCTTCCTCTCCTGTGGCCTTTTCGCAGCATTACTAATTAGCAGGTGGATTACTTTTTTTTTTCCAGAGTTACTCAGAGTCACGAGTATAACCTCCTGTCAAAGGAGGTTCAAGGATCAAGTACAACCTCCAACTTGTTCTAAGGACGCCCCATCGCCCGCGGCTGCTCCCTACTCAAAGGGCGGGTCTGAACTGACTGGCACCTTACTGGTTTCTTAAACGTTACTCCACGGATTCAAGCTGAACGTGTGTTAGTTTTCATGAGCAAACTTTTCCATTAACCAGATTTCTCACGTCAAAACAGCAAAGAGAAGGGAGAAAACCACAAGCTGCTCCTCCATCCCCTTTCCCGGCGGCCTGGGTGGGCCTTACTCCCCCAGCAGCCGGCTGCGCTGGACCACCCAGGCCTCTCGCCAAGGCACAGGCCCTGCGTCCCCCCGACTCCTACCGGCAGGGTTCCCCGAGGCCCGAAACCCGGCCCTCAGCGAAGCTGACAGTTCAGAACGCCCCTGACACAGCCCAACGCACAAAATGCACCACTGTGGTCCGGCCATCTCCCGACAGTCCCTTCGTCCGAACCTCGCAGCCCGAAGCCGCTGGAGAGGCCGAGGCCGAGGGCGCCCACGGAAAGCGGCCACCACCGCGCGGCGCCGAGAACCGCCGACCGGTCCGCGCCACCCCGGACTCGCTCCTCCCCCGACCGCGGCTCCGCGCCCCCCAAGCCGAGGCCCGGGAGGAGCACCCGCGCGGCTTCTGCGCTCAGGTGGGCGGCCCGGCCACCCTCCCCAGCCTCCGCGGCCTCCCTGGGCCGACGCTCGCCTCACGGTCACCGGCACACCGACCTCTCGCTCCCGGGGCCGAGGATACCACCGCCTCCCCTCTCAGCCCGCTCCCTACTGGCGGGTGTCCCCGGCTGGTGCCTCCACCACGGGAGCGGACCTACACGAAACGCTTCCCCATTGGCTCCCGCCTCCCCACCTGACTCTGGCGCCCAACGCGCACGTGGAAAACTGTTGTTGCCGCTCGGCCTGCGCGTCACTTCCTGCTACACCCCCCGCAAAGGGCGGTTCCTATACTAACGGGGGCGGAAGTGAATGAAAGGTTCCGGCACCCATCTCCGGAACTGTTTCTGGCGCAGGCGCAGTGGCGCGGGCGGCCTGGTCTTGCGGCTCCGCCTAAGCTAGGAGGGCTGGTCTGCGCCCTTTGCCACCTGGGGTCACCCCAGGACCTTACTCAAGTGATGCCCCGCTATTGCGCTGCGATATGCTGTAAGAATCGCAGGGGACGGAACAATAAAGGCCGGAAGTTGAGCTTTTACCCGTAAGTCAGCTCGTAGGCCGTAGCGTCAGCGTCACCTTGGTAAGCCCCGGGCCTGTGGTCTGGAGCCGGGGCCCAGGTGCCTCCTTCCTGCTCTGAGCGAGACCTCAACTTCCCGCGCAGAGCGGGCGCGGAGGCTTGAATGTAGTGTAACCTTGGGCACGCCGTTGAAGGGTTGGTAAGACAGGAAGGTTGTGCATGGTCCACGGTCGTGGTTCTGGGAGCCTTGATCGCACCTCGCGAAGCTCTCATTGAACTGCACTAACCACGCCTTAAGGTGCACCTGACCTGCTGTGAGGAAGGGCGAAGTTGCACAGAATTTAATCCCCCCCACCCCCCGTGAGAAAACAGAAACCAAAGCTTGATTAGTAACCTTGAGAAGTTGGTGTCATACCCAGAATTTTAACGTGTTTCCTGCTTGGGGCAGGTAAATATATTCTGGGTGACTAAAACTACGAGATACTTCCGTCAAACTATACGAATACTAGTTTGCATTCAGAAAGACAGGGAAGCGATGTTGTGTCATTTGGGAGCTGTGATTCCAAATCTAGGTTCCATTCCTTTGCAACTGAATGACCATGCTTCATATCTTCCATTTGTAAAGTAGAAATAATAGAATGTTATTAAATACAAGAATAATATGTATGAGAAGTCTGAAAATCAGCTTACTTATGTATTCCATTTCCTTTGTTGTTGGTCATGGGACTTGAACTCAGCCTGCGATCTCCCCTCAGCTTCCCCTTCTCCCCCCAAGGCTAGCGCTCTACCACTTTGAGCCACAGCGCCACTAACAGCTTTCTGGTGGTTAATAAGAGTCTCAATGACTCTCCTGCCTGGGCTGGTTCGAACTGCGATCCTAAGATGTCTGCTTCCTGAATAGCTAGGATTACAGGAGTGAGCCACCAGCTCCAGGCCCTTTTTTTCTTTTTTCCTTTTACCTTTTTTTCTTTTCTTTTTTTAATATTCGAGACTGAGATTTAAATTTGGCACCTAACGCTTTTGCTCATTGTCTTGTGCTCTACCAACTGAGCCATGCCTCCATCCCCCTCATTTCCTTTTTATAACGTATTTAACAAAAATTGTTTCAGATAGAACTACCTAGTTCTCTATTTTTGTGGGGGGAGGGTTCCTTAATTTTTTCACGTTATTTAGTAAATCTCCTTTGAGTTTAATCATGAAGTTGGTATTTACTATTGGCTGGGTGCTTCCCTTTATCTCAAGTAATGGGAAAAAAAACAACATAAATCTAAGTAATTTATATAATTTTTGCATGATTAGCAAAATAAAAGGTGAGATTGACCAATGTATGACTTAGGCCACCAGGTTTATAAAAGTATGTATGTATCTGTGTGTGACAATATATGTATGTATCATAAGGACTAAGAAATTAAAAAGAATACACCATAGAAAAAATACACAAAATACCCAGTAGATGAATAGATCAAGAAGATGTGTATATATACACAATGGAATTTTATGCCTCTATCAGAAAGAATGGCATTGCCCCATTTGTTAGGAAATGGAAGACTTGGAAAAAATGAAGTAAACCAGCCCCAAAGAAACATAGGTCCCATGGTTTCCCTTATTTGCAATAACTAGTATAAGTCAAGGACAAGCAGAATAGGTCAAAAGCTATGTATATACGACCATATAAGATGATGTTAAGTGAAATGAACCCAAGATAGGGACACACTTGTTTTTTTTCTTTTTGCTATTGTTTTTAATGTATCTGAAATGTACTATGTAATTTTTTTTTGGGGGGGGGGGTCCGGTCATGGGGCCTGAACTCTGGGCCTGGGCGCTGTCCCTCAGCTCTTCAGCTCAAGGCTAGTGCTCTACCACTTGAGCCACAGCGCCACTTCCAGTTTTCTGGTGGTTAATTGGAGATTAGAATCCCACAGACTTCCCTGGCCCGGCTGCTTTAAACTGCGACCTCAGATCTCAGCCTCCTGAGTAGCTAGGATTACAGGCATGAGCCACTGGCTCCTTTTGTTTTTTAGACAGTCTTACTGTGTAGCACAGGATGACCCAACACTTAATCCTCTGCCTCAACCTACCTAGTTGCCAGGATTACAAGTGAGTGGTACCATACCTTTCTGAGTCTGACCTTTTCAATGCAATTAACTTTTTTTTTGCATCAGAATTCCTATTTTAGAACTTAAAGTTTAGAGCTTGTAGGCTGTTACAGAAGTCTAGAAGCAGACTAAATTACATATAGGTATAAATGAAGCAGATGCTAGTAAAAAAAAGAAAAATATTAGTAGTTTTCTTCAGCTAACCATATTAATAGTAATTTTATTCAGCTGATTTGTGTGAATTGAGTATCTACTTATTTTAAAAATGCTAATATAAATTGAGGCAAGAATAAGGGGAATTTGAAGCCACCTGGGCTATATATGAAACACATTTGGATGGAAATTTGTAGAGAATTTATAATACAATGGGCTGATTCTAGGCAAATTACCTATCCATAGAAAACTGACTAGATTCTTTGAAGTAATGTATTTTCCTTAAAGGATCTCTGAATTATGTTTCCCAATCCATTTTCAGACCAAAGCTTTAGCTTCATAGTCATTGTCATAAAGATGCTTTCATTTAGTAGAGATGATGGCCTTGCTTTTGCAGCATGGGACAAATAGTTTATGTGGATATATTGTAAGACAAAGTTTTTGTCTTTTTTTTTCTTTTTTTAATTTCAGGTTTCCTCTTCATGACAAAGAAAGACTTGAAAAGTGGTTAAAGAATATGAAACGGGAGTCTTGGGTTCCCAGTAAATACCAGTTCCTGTGTAGTGACCATTTTACTCCTGACTCTCTTGACATCAGATGGGGTATCCGTTATTTAAAACAAACTGCAATTCCAACAATATTTTCTTTGCCTGAAGACTATCAGGTATTGGAATAGCGGAGAGACGGGTAATGCAGAACAGGGTGGCAAATCCAAATTGACAGGTTATCATCAGGTGTAAAGAGTAAGAGGTAAAGATTACTGTTAGGAAAAAAAATACTTGAGAATATTTTCTCCTTTTACTAAAAGTATGATGAATTTAAAAATTAAAGTGGAACCGTTTGAGAGCAGCAAAAAACAGTACATTTTTGAAATTTTTAAAATTAATGGTCACACTTTTCTTACTGGTCATTTAAATAACCTGAAATTACTCTATCATATGTCAACTCTAGGGTTTTGCTTGTTTTTTGTTAGTTGTGGCACTTGAACTCAGGACTGCAGCACTGTCTGTGAGTTTTTCTGCTCAGGGCTGGCACTCTACCACTTGAGCCACAGCTCTGCTTCTGGCTTTTTGTGATTCATTGGAGATAAGAGTCTCATGAAAACGTTTCTGCCTGGGCTAGCTTCGAACCACGATCCTCAGATCTCAGCCTCCTGAGTACCTAGGATTATAGGAATGAGCCACCAGTGCTTCAACTGGAGTTAAAAAAAAAATATTTTAAGATATATTTAAGTTATCTACTTAGACCAGTTTAAATAAGTTTGCCAGACCAGTATACTGCTCAAACTTAGTACTAGTAAGAGAGTAAGTCTACAAGTATGCCCTTTTTAGAATTTGAAATATTATTTTCTAGGGAAAAGAATCTTGTAAAAAAAAATCTCAGAAGAAAAAATTGGGAGATGAGAAAGAAATGTGTCTAAAAGCCAAGCCCGAAGAATCATTTGCATCAAATGAAGCAAAGAAAAATACAGTTAAAATAGATATACTCCCTGAACACACAGACTTACTTGATTTGCCTGCCATACTGAAGCCACCAGCTCCTAAAATAGCAAGTATGCAAACTAACATATTAACTCTTAATCTAGTTAAACAAGATGCTGAAAAGACAAATTCTGTCTTAGAAACATTGATTAACCAAGATTTAGGTGTAAGTGATTTTCACACATCTTATGAGAATCTAAATTCTACAACTATTACTTTAACAACTTCAAATTCAGAAGGTATTCACCACCAATCTTTGGAAACCCAAGAAATGCTCGAAATAACTACCAGTCATCTTGCTAATCCTAATTCAATTGAAATTAAGTCAGTACAGGAAAATGAATTCTTAATCAGCACTGTTGAAGATTTAAGCACAAATAAAGAATCTATTATTGCCATTTTTGTACCCACAAACAATTTTAAACCTGCAGTTAATTCATCTGTTCTAGCACAAAATGAAACCATAGGAATGGAAGACATAGACATTGAAGACTCCTCATATAAGAATATAGACCATAGTGTAGACATTTTACAAACGGAACACTCTTACTGCAGACAAGACATAAATAAGGAACATCTTTGGCAAAAAGTCTCTAAGCTGCATTCAAAGATAACTCTTCTTGAGCTACAAGAGCAACAAACTCTAGAAAGATGGAAGTCTTTGGAAGCTCTTATAAGCCAGCTAAAACAGGAAAACTGGCTATCTGAAGAAAACATCAACATTATAGAAAATCACTTCACCACATATGAAGTTACTATGATATAGAGTAAAGTTTTAAGGCTGTATTAGCTTTTTCTAGCTAAACCAAATTATGCATAAAGTGATCTTTCTCCTACAGATAGTTTGTCTTAATGAAGCTATGAAAGTTGTTATGAACTGCATTCTGTTTCT